CATACATACATACCTACGTACGCACGCACATACATACATACATACATACATCCATGCATGCATGCATGCATGCATGCATACATGCATACATATGCAGTTTTATGCCACGTCAATATATAGACATATATACTTGTATGCATTGTTGAACATATTGCGTTTTACGTATATAGTTATAGACCTACATATGATCTAAAATCATATTTCATGGAAGATGAGTGTCCGGTACTGGATTTTACTGTACTATACCGGATAGCATTCTATGGTCTCCATTTGTCGAATTACAGCTTTTTTTTAAACATGTAGACATGTAGCACCCTGTATACAATGATGTAGTGTAGATTTACATTTTGTACATCGATATAAATTTCTGTATATATGATACAACTAGTCATATCCACCTGTCGTACACAATGTATTCAATTCTGATATAAAATGTTGCAAGAATACTACAACATAAGAAAATATTATAACACATACCGTAATACAAGATACAATGAACATATCATTAAAAAGCAACATGTCATGAAATATACTATACTACACTATGCTAAACGATACTGCACCATTCCATATTATATGTACTGGACTGTACTGTGCCATACTACACTACAACATAGTACAGCAAAAAATATACTACAATATACTACAAAGACTTATGTGTGTATATATATATATCACGAAAAGATAAGCACTATCAAGTTTAACATGTGCATGAAAAATATGCATATATATATATACATACATACATACATACATACATACATACATATATATATATACATGCAAAAGTATGTACATGCATATTTAAACATACAATGTTGCAGGTTATGTATTGTATAACATTGTGTGATTGTGCGCAAGGCTCGATTAGGATCTTGGCAAAGAGGGCTTCGTGGCTCCATGGATTGCGACACTGATTGGCTTGTTTAGGATTGAAAAGAAAGCACAGTTGGTAGGTTTGTTTTCGAACCCATGCCCAGAAATGTCGAGGACCTGCGCGGAATTCTTAAGTTTCGTGAAGTCTCAAGATCGGCAGTTTGGGAGTACCACAAGCCAACTTCCCACGTGCAAACGGCACTATCGCCTGCTGAGCGCAGTATCTTCTAAAATGCACGTCTTTCAAGCATGCCTTTGACCCTGTCTTCTATGCATGTAGTCTCGCATGGAACATCAGCACCGTGATGGGACTACCTCTCGTTTGGACCTCCCTCTTCCCTTCTCCCTCTGAATTCGCGTTCCAGACGTACCTGCCACAAGTACAAAGTACATCGGAAGCAAACCCTATCAACCCCTAAAGCATCCGGAAGCCCAAAGCTCCTCAAACCTAATCCCTGAACCCTTAAACCTTAGACCCGAAACCTTAAACCCTAAACGCCCGAACCAATAACCCCTAAACCCAGAAAGTCTACATTCCAAACCATCTTATGCACCCCCAAACCCAGACACCTGCTTACAACACTGCAGAGAGAACTTAAACCTGAGGATGCTAAACCCTAAACCCCTAATCCCTAAACCCTAAACCCCATCCCTAAACCCTAAACTCCATCACTAAACCCTTAACCCCATCCCTAAACCCTGAATCCTAAACCCCTCAACTCTGCCGCTCCTTCCGCTGCTCGGAACGGCGCAGGCGCCGGCCTCCGACGTCGACCTTGCAAGGGTTTGAGGTAGGGTTTAAGGTTTCAAGGCTTAGGTTTTAGGGTTTTACGGCTTTGGGTTTAGGGTTTTAGGGCTTCGGGTTTAGGGTTTTTCATAATTTTCTATAGGCGTTTACAGGGCAGGGTTCTTGATGGGTCTTGTTGCTCAGATCCTATTTAGGTGTTTATAAGTAAAAGTATTAAGCGCTTTGCGGTTGTTGCAGGTTTTTGTGGGATGTGTTTAAGGCTTCCAGGCTTTGGCCGGGTGTTTGTAATATAAAGTTTGGTATGCGTCTTCTTCGTGTTTATATAGGTTAGTTGAGGCCCTTATAGAAGCCTTGTAAAGTGTAGACTAAGTTCTCTCATATGCTGGCTTCGTCACTTGGGGGATTTTGGCGTTTGGGAATTTACAGACGCTGGAGCCTTCTTGGTTTAAGGGTTTGGGGCTTGGGGTGGCTCCGGGTTCAGGGGTACTGCGTGCTCAAGCCGCCTTGCTGCGGAGCGGCTGCTCCGCACCCACTGGAACACACTCACTCGATAGCTAAAACTCGCGCCCTTTCTCGATTGAAGTAGCTCCTAGAGAACCCTTTTGTGGACTAGGGAGTTGTTGAAGCCTGCTTTCTGTTCACTGCACCTTCGCAGTGGATCTGGACTGTACATACGGCCCAGGTGTTGAGGTCCGACACTATAAGAAACCATGATATACCTTGCTTTGTAATTAGAATGTACGAAACATGTTACAAAATATCATAATATACTATCGCATGTTATGCTATACCACTATACTATACTATACTATACTATACTATACTATACTATACTATACCATACTGTATTATACTATAGATGCGCCTACGTCCTTCCAAAAAAGGGCCCCGGCGTCGGGCAGGACCTTGAAAGCGTTCAGAGCCCGTTCCTTGCCAAACTCAGCGACTGTGACTTGGCTCTCTGGCTGAGATCCTCGCAATTTCAACAAGGTTCCTACTCCACATTTGAACCAACGACCCAAAGACCAAAGTCTCTAACACATGGTGCCAGCTCTCGTTTGCGAGACTCTCTTTGCACGCCTTCGTCCCTGAAGCTCTAGTTGGAAACGTCTGGGGGTTTCAAACTGGCTCTCAGTATGTATGCATGCATGCATGCATGCAGGTATCGCCCCTTGTCTGTCTGTCTCTCTGTCCGTGTCTGTCTCTGTTTGCCTGTGTCTGTCTGTCTCTGTGTCTGTCTCCGTCTCTGTCTCCGTCTCTGTCTCCGTCTCTGTCTCTGTGTCTGTCCGTCTGTCTGTCCGTCTGTCTGTCCGTCCGTCTGTCTGTCCGTCTGTCTGTCCGTCTGTCTGTTTGTGTTTGTAATGTAATTTCATGTAATGTCACGGATTGTCTTGTCATGCTGATTGTCAGACTGTCAACTTTGTTTCAAACCGCAGCTTGGCTGCTCAAGACGCGCTTTGCAAGTGCCCAGCAAAAGGTGCGACTGCATTCGGGTAGTGGAGTACTTGGCTTTGCTGCGTAGTCAAACCAACGGCTTACACTTCTGACCCGAGCTCACTGCAGCGCAGTGCCTGGCCTCTGCTTTTCCCCTTGCTACTTCCATAGTCACGACTGTGCGATTTCAACTTTCCCACTCCATGCAAAGCATATGTATGCATCTATGCATGCACATAAGACGTATGTAATGTCAAGCTTGGGCAGCACTGAGCTTCCGGGCGAAGTCTGCCCGAGTGGCTTGATGCGCCTGGAACTGTCCGGGCCTTGGTGAAATTTGTCATCGGTTCTGTTTTAGTGCGTCAATAGCAGCTGAAACCTGAAACTCTGAAACCCTCAGGCTTAAGCACTAAAGCTTACTCCGTGAACCTGCGCCTGAGAATCCGGCAGCCCCAAGACCTGAATCTTCATCGATCTCGAACTTACTGTGCACCTGCACCCTGTATCGAGAAACACATACAGAAACCGCATCGCCGAAGAAAACCTAAACCCTAGACTTCGACTCCAAACGCCCTAAGCCCACCGCTCGAAAGCCCTGAACCCTCCACTCCCAAACCCGAAAAACCCTAAACCCTAAAACCCCTAAACCCGTAATGAAAACCCCTAAAACCCCTAAACGCCTAAACCCTAAAACCCCAAAGCCCTAAAAACCCCTAAATCCCCGAAACCCCTAAAACCCTAAAGGCCCTAAAACCCCTAAACATCCCCTAAACCGCCTTAGACCCCTAAAACCCTAAAGCCCTAAACCCCTTGGTAGCCGACTTGGGAGCTCGCTTCTGCCTTCGTGCCTGCTGAAGGGTCTTTTTTGTGATGCTGGGTTTCTTTTTTGTGGGGGATTGGGGGTTCGGGGGTTTAGGGGTTTTGGGGTTTGAGGGTTTTTTTTTGGGTTTAAGGGTTTGAGGGTAAAGTTTGAGGGATTTTGGGGTTTTAGGGTTTGAGGGTTTAGGGTTTGAGGGTTAGGGCTTGGAGGGTTTAGGGCTTGGAGGGTTTAGGGGTTGGTAGGGTTTTGGAGGCTTTAGGGGCTGTAAGTCTATGGGCATTCAGGGCCGTTCGAGCTTTTGAGGTTTCGGGGCGTTTAGGTTGGGTTCACGGTTGTTCGGGCTTTTGGGGCTTGGGGGTCCGAGGGAATAATCATGTAGAGAGTTTAGGGTTAAGGTTTGGGGTTCAGGGTTTAGGGTTTAGGGGTTTTAGGTTTTAGGGTTTCGGCTTAGGCTTTAGACAGGGAGTTCTTTGAGTTCTTGGGCTGTAGGCTTGAAGGACATGCATGAGGACCCCAGAAAGGTGGGGTGGTCCAGGGTGCAGTTCTCCAACAGCTCTGTTCAGGCCGCTGGCTGGTTGCGTCAGTCACACCAAGGGTGGGATAGCTGAGAAAATGTCGCTGAATTAAGACCTAAACCAGGCCCCAAACCGAAAGCATGGTGTAGGAACATACTCTGGTTTGGTATACTAAATTATATGAAATTAATTATGTTAGTTATGTATTTGGCAAGGTATTGTTGTATTCTTAATGTAATGAACAGCCTCTGCATCGGCTGTTGCCGCCGGGGCGTCTCGGCGTGCTTGGCTGAAGCTCATGAGCGGTGGTTGTATCCTGGGCATGGTGCCGGGCAGGAATGACAAAGGGCAATTGGATAGGCCCCACGAAGCCGTAGATTCGAGATCATGCTACACAGATCTCATTCGTAGCTAACCCGTTCACGACTAGCAACAACACAGCTGCGTCGCACCTCATTCGGATTGCTTGACAAACGCGGGCTGTGTCGGTTTTAGGTATGGATGGTATGGACTTATTCATCTCAGTTTTTTCCGATGAGTGCCTCGAAGGACCTAGGCAGCCCAGTATCCATGTTGCCGAACTGGGACATTAAGCAGCAGTCGACTTGCGGGCAAGTCCTATTGAAGCCTGAGCTTATCCCCTGTACTGGCCCAAACAGCTCGAGGACCCCCGTGCAAACTCTGTACTACCGGCTAAACTTTGATCCCTAAACCCGAAACCTCAAACTATGATCCCTAACCCTTTTCCATAGCCAGGGTTTAGGGTTTCAGGGTTAAGGGTTTAGGCCCTAAGCCCTAAAAGCCCAAAGCTTCAGCCGACGGTTCTGGGGGTCCCCTAAGGATCCCTTTGTACCCCCACTTGCGTGAACCACCCTCCTTTGAGGATCAAGCTTTTATATGGTATAATAACTTAGTATGACATAGCAGAAGAAATAGTGTGTGATACAATAATACAGAATCAAATCATATAGTATTTTATTACGATGCAATGAATTATACTGTAGTAGAATACAGTCTAGCCTGATATTACAATACAGCATCATACCGAAACTATATATATATATAGAGTGTGTGTGTGTGTGAATTGTCTGTACATTATATTATATATCCCATACCAAAGGCTGCCGAGGAACCTCCGACTGTCCTCTTCTCCGCAGAGAGCGCTGCGTAAAGATTTGCTACGACCCACCCGGGAGCCCCAGATTTGATCCGAAAAGCCGGGGAAAGAGCTTAAAACCCCTAAACCCCTAAATCCCTAAACCCTCAAGCCTTAGAATCCTAAAACTCTAAACCCCTGGAATCCTAAGACCCTAAAACCCCCTAGAATCCTAAAGCCCTAAACACCTTAACCCCTAAATCCGAAACCGAGCCTCGGTTTCTAAACTCATCGGAAGGGGTTAAAGCCGGCCTCGAAAACAAGCTCGAAGAACGAGCCTCAACCAACCCCGACCTTAACCCCAAACAACGTACCATTTTAAGGACTTATATAAAGAAATCATAATAAGGAACCCTAAAATGGTAGGTTCTTTATAGGGTCCAGGTAAGCTCTAAAATCCAACACTCAGCGCGCAACCAGCTTGCATCTCAGGGTCTATACGGGATGGCAACACCCCGGTTTTGCCGCCGCTCCTGCCTAACTTTACTCTACATTCCCTGTAACTCCAACACAACGCAACATAATAAACACATTACAGCAGTTTATTCACAACTGTTGCAGCATAATGCTGCATGGGGCAAAGCTGCTACACAAGGAGTCGCCCATCGACTCGAGTGAGTAGTGGAAACGCTGTAATAAGGTTGCAATCACCAGCTAAACTCGAGACATGCCCCTGCCCTGCACTCGTTTCGTCCCTAGACCCCAAACTCAGCAAAGCTCTCTTCTCTTTTGACGCCGCCACACGCGCGCTGCGGTCTTCGACGGCGACGATGGGAAAGACTTCGAATCTTAGGGCTCTTGGTGTTCTTGACAAAGAGGCTTGTCTCTTCAGACTTCTGGGATTCTGGGGCTTTCAAAGGCTCTTGCTGTCCATGCTGCAGCTGACAGCATCTAGAATCTAGCTGCAACGCTCCGGACTTCAAGGAATGCTAGAGCGCGGAGCCAGACCCGTCTCTAGCGTTCTCTTCTTCGTCCAGAGGTGGCTCTCCGCCTGCAGCTTGGGCAAAGGTGACTTGAGGACTGTGCAGAGATCAGATTGCAGTCGCAAGTGTCTCTGCATGTCAGTACATTACATCCATCCATCCATCTATCCATCCAGCCTTGCATAAGTGTGTACGTATGTACCTACCTACCTACCTACCTACCTGCCTACCTACCTACCTACCTACCTACCTACCTACCCACCTACCCACCTCTCCACCCACCCACCCACCCGCGCTGTGTGGGAATCCTATTCCGTCGGGGTGTTCGCGTCGCGTTCTTGTAGACTCTAGAGGATCACCCATTCTACTCATATAAGAAAGAACTCATGAATAGTAAGACGAGCACAGCACATGAACCCCCAAACAGACCGACCAAACTTTCTTGCTTACCTGCAGGAGAAAGGAAGCCGTCAGGGCTGCAGACCCCAGGCCCTGGCCCCCTCTACCCAAATTTGCATGGGTAGTTCTCTAGATAGGGTCCCGTTTTCGGTCCCCAATATAATTCGGCACCCTTATAAAAAGGACCCCCCCAATAGGGACCCTATTTAGAGAGCTGCCCACATGAATACGAAGCTCTGAACCCAAAGTGCAGCTCTAAAGGTGAATGGAAGCGCGAGATGAATATGCTCGGCCACAGTGCTTCTCCACAAAACACAAGCTCAAACATCGGTTGAGGGTTTACGGTCCAAAATGCCTTCTGACCCTTGCAAGAATGCGAAAACGTCATACTCGTGCTCCTGAATCGGCAGCTTTTCTTCCGCTGCATGGCACTATGATACACTACATTATGCGGCATCGGGTTACAAAAAAATCCACTACGGAACTGAGGAGCTGAATTCGCATTTTGACTAGGGCATCATATACCCACAGGCTCCTAAGTAGTTCCTTTTGGGGATTACCTTATAGGACTCTAAATATGAACCACAAAAAAGGAACTACTTAGGAGCCTATGGGTAGTCTATTTGTAACCATACACATGCCGAATCCAAATCGGTACAGAGGATCGCGCACGACTGGGACCCCCACCGGTGGCGTGTCTCCGTCCACTCGACTTGGCGGCTTTTCCATGGGGCTTTTTTCGGTTTTGTATGCTTCATGAGGCGCTTAAAAAGTGTTACTGGCTGGCTGTATATAGGGTGCTATCGAGTGTGAATAGAAGAGTTGCAAGGCTTTCAAGGGAGGGCTTCGGGTCTACGGATTCTGGGCCCAGGGATGAACAAAGTCCCCCCGGCTTCAACGAAAGAACTCAGGATTTAGAGTTTTAGGCCTGACGGTGAGTAGCATCGGGGAATTCTGTGGGGAACAATAACTGAAAACGGTATGGAATCTCACTCCAAAGCTTCGCGACTACATCTTGAGGTCTGCAAACTCCTCACTGCTGTCATACTGGCGTGCCACTTAAGTGTTGGGACTTGGTCAAGCAACTAGCGCCTACAGGGGTCGAAGGGCTTGGACTAAAGTTAAGGTTCAGGGTTCAAAACATTCGGGCTTGGGACACCCTAAACCGTCTGTTGCCGTTGAAAAATCTTCCGGATCCAGCGGCTTCTATGAAGCCCGGAATCGCGGACAGTCCCAACACCAAGGACCTACACCCAACCCGGCCTAAGCCCCTGAAGCCACAAACCAAACCCTAAACCCTAAACCCTAAACCCGACAGCCTAAATCCTTACTCCCTGAAGCTCCCGACCCCAAGAGACCCCGGCCTTGGATCCTCTGCTGCGAGGTGTGCAGAAGGGTCCAGAGACACCTGGCACCCGCGACTTCCGTGCAAGGGTATAGGGCTTAGGGCTGAGGGTGAGGGCAGACCAGAAACGAGCTTCTCCAAACATGTAGTCATGGAGTAGTAGACTAATAGACTCTCTGCTTCCAAAGGGCAGTAGAATCATGCAAGACCTCGACCCTAAAACAAAAACCTCAACCCCAAGGCCTACGCCTGAAACACGATCGGATTTTTGTTCATGGCCCCTAATTAGGGGGGCGTCTGCTCTCTGTCCGGATCCGGCCTCTTCACTCGCAGTTGCAGGGGCGGCTTGGGATCCTTCGTAGGGATGCGACAAATGCACAAAACATCACAAAAAAGAGATCGACCCTACGGAAAACACGTATCAAGATAATTCCCCTGTCAATGGCTGTAGAGGGGCAGAAGTAAGCTTAAACAAATTCTATGTGGCTTTCCGGCCCCGTGCAGGTAACATTGAACCTTGAAGCCTCCATCAAGTTGGGGTCATACTACTAGTATACATAAGTTTTCCATCAGTCCCTATTACACTACTATTACCCTCGATTACCGTAACAGTATAGTATACGGCACCCTAAACCCCTAAACCCAGAGAGCCAACCTTTGGCAGCTCCAAGTGAGGCTCGTAAGCAGAGGGGATGCAAAGGATCGGGCAGAGGGGCTCCAATATGATAGGGGCCTTCATGATTGGAGGAGTACTGCTTCATAAAGCACTATAATGGGGGCCTTATAATGGCTGCAGAAGGATTTTGGAGTATTGCGGTAGTATACATATAGTAGGTGCCCACCAGCACTTCCCTTCTGAGGCCCATGACCATGTAACCCTCAATGCTTAAACCCACGCCCCAAACCCGACGCCCAAAGCCTGATGAATCACAACACCTGCCCCGATCATTAAGCAAGAACCCCGCAGCTCATCTAGCCATTCGCCCCTGAAACCAGAATGCTCTTGCACAGACTCCCTGTGTCCTGAGTCGCATTGCTCCCTCACAGCTTCCTGGTCTCGTGATAGGGCTTGTCTATGTTTATGTGCCCGAATGCCTTAAACCCTACCCGCTACTGTGGGAACTACCGGACTTCACCACACCAGCAGGCCGGAATGAACCAGACCCAGGCCGAACATCAAAAGCTTTCAGGGGCTTAAGGGGCCGGGAGGTACGCACAAGCAGGGTTAAGAAGTACACTTGCAAGCGTTTAGACTGGCTATAACTATAGACGATACTGTTCTTGTAGGTATAGGTAGAGAGCCTGTAGCTAATTAAGCTATAACCCGCTGCGTCAACAGCTCGGTTCGACAGTCTCGGAAGCAGTTTCTGCATTTTGGGCCTGTTGGGAAGCTTGAGGCTGACAGTTTCAGGTTCCTTATGTGCTAAGATCATGTCGAGGTGCTGGAGCTCCACTTTTGCACTGAGCTCGCGTGTGACGTATCTGTGGGTGAA